GAAAGGATCAGAAACATGATTTGAGAATTGTTATTCATCTCCTCTTCCATTAAAGCACATACATGATAGCAACCAAAGGAAGCTGAAGAAAAAGTTTATTTCCATTGAAATTTATGGTCTTGCTTCACTGCTTTTTTGTTCAAGTCAAGCATCATAAGAAAATAACAATACTGTTTTAAACAAAGATTTTGCGGATGGAAGTTGAAACACTTTAGAAATACTGCCTCCTTCAAAGACAGGAGGCCTCAAATGAAATACCTGTGCTCACAAAAACCTGGCTGGATACGAAACAGTGCAGGAAAAAAAATAAAACAAACAGAAGAATTTGCAATGTCATTTTTCTACTTAGAGGTGGTTTGGTTTGGTTTKKKKTTTGGTTTGGTTTTCCCCCAAAATAAGAAGCCATCTACTGCAAACTCCATTTTGGATGCATACACTCCAAATATTCAGACACCCCAAGTTCAGTATTTCCTATGAGCTGGAATTTACCATCTCCCAACAAATCCTAAGATATTCTGTGCACGTTGAACTCTCCTCACTAATTGTACAGCAAATTACAAAAGTCTGTTCTTCCATTTTTCTAAACAAAGATTTAAGTTAGGATGGCTATCTAAAAAGGCATCATAATCTTAAGTGTAATAAAATCATAATCTTAAGTGTATACACTTCCAACAAAGCAAGATATGATCTTGTAAATGTATCTGTCATGTTTCAGAGGAATTTTAGCGAAATCTCCTCTAAATTTCTGTACTCTAAAGACAAAAAGAGTTCCCACRTGTCAATTATGTGGACTTGGTTTGGCACACTGGAGTTTCCACAGTAAGAAAGCTAATGTATAAAAGCCAAGTGTTATCGATTACAAGATTCCACAAAAAGCCAATTCCAACTCAAAGGTGTTAAATACAYTAAACCTAGCAGCTTCTACATGCAACAGATTGATAATTGGCCATAGTCACCTMTTTTTTTTTTCCATTATCAATATTTACATAAGTTCTGATGAATTTTAGCCAACAAACAAAAATTTTGGGAATCCACAAGTCTAGCACATATCAAATGTGTCCTGTCTGTAAGGAATATTCAAAGTATATGCAATGTGTCAAATAAGCCTTCAAGTAAAGAAACTACTACATGAGAATAGATTGTTAATCAAGAATCCTATACCATCCTGAGTCTGTACCTCCCTGTTTTCTTCTTAGAGTATTTTCCCCTTTTATCACTGATTTGATTGTATTTCACTGTCTTATCACTGATACAACCAGAAAGAGTATTGTGGAGAGTACTGATTTATTTGAGCAATAATATATTCTCCTGCACTTGGTAGTTGGTTCCAAMAGGACTACCTTAAGCCAAAATAGGCTCTTGAATTACATATGGGCTCTTGAATTACATATGAGTACTGCATACAGTGCAAATTCTGAAATACCCAAAAGAGGAATATGTTTTTGCCTGCTTGTTTACACTGGAAATATTTTAGACACACAGGCTTTTCAAGAAGATTAAGGATGGARTTTTCAGGGAAGTTTAGAAGACATTGTCTAAATCCATTGAATATTAATAGAGGAGTCATTGGAACACAAGTTTGTTTGGGATGGAAGAGACCTTAAAGATCACCTAATGTCCAACCCCCTGCCTTGGGCAGAGACAACCCAACAAAGCTTTAAAAACTGCCAGGGATGGGGCATCTACAGCTTCTTTGGACAAATTGTTCCAGTCCCTCACAAGACTCACAGCAAAGAATTTCTTCTTAACATCTAGTCTAAACTTGCCCTCTTTCTGTTTAAAGCCATTCCCCTTGGCCTATCAATAAAGACCCTCAAAAAAATTCCTCTCCAGCTCTCTTGTAGCCCCTTTAGGTATTGGAAGGTGTAGAAATTGTCCCCATCACCTTCTYTTCTCCAGGCTGAACAGCCCCAGGGCTCTCAGCCTGTTCTCCAGCCCTGGGGTCATCTTTGTGCCTCCTCTTCACCTGGTCCAGGTTAATCCTTCTCATGTTGGGGGGAGTTATGACCCTTAGTTACAGAGCTATTTAAGAATAGATCTGTCCTGTAAGGCATAACTGACACAGAAGATTCACWCAGCTATTTAATCTCAAGAAACCACTATTCAAATGACAATTTTCTGAACATTAGCTTTCACTGACTTCAGGCCTAATCAATGTTGTTTTTTTTATTCTAAAAATCTGGAAGGTATTTATTTACATTCCAGACATCCTGCCAGCAACAAGTAGAATAATCCTGTYATGCATGTTTTCTACCAAATAGCAAAAAATCAAAATAATCACTTAAAATTCTTTGATTTCACTGCCAAACAAAATACTATGAAGATTAAGCATCACTACAAGCAGAGGTTGTCAATAGACAACTTAAAACTATTTGACACCCAGTATTAGGACAAATACATAATGAAAATCAATATAAATCACTTAACTATTTTCCTACTTGGTCATGCTGCTTATTTGAAAGCCTCTTCCTGAAAAAACAGCTTTTCCATAGTTATTAAAATGTGATTCTTGTAAAAAGTATTATCTAACAAGTTAGATTTTTAAACCAATTGTATGGAACTTCTCTTCCTCATATCTGTAGTTATTCTTTGAAATATAAAGTACAAAAGACAGATATTAACTTAAATTTGACAGATTAAATACACTGAGATAACTGAAAAAATTTTTTAAAAGGCTTTAACTCTAAAAGAAGTAAGAGTTAAGATTTTTTTTAATTTTATATTTTGAGTCTTCATTTACAAGACATCACCTTAATAACAGCTACATATGAATAAGACTTCCCTACAGTTTTAGAATTAGATATTAAAAAAATTTAGTCAGTTATTTCTRTGGTCAATACTAGTGATATAAATATGATGAGTTACATTTGATATGTACGATATGTTCATTTGATATGTATGATATGTTAGGGGAAGCAAGTTGTCCTGTATTTGTAGATGGTGAGTAGTATATCAAGTGTGAAAAAAAAAAAAAAATCAAAAAACAGTAAAAACAAAATGTAGAATCTTCAGAATTATTTATCTTCTAAGCAAGAATCACTGWAAGGAAAAATATGTCTTCCCAGAAAAACAGATTCCTAGAACTGGACAGTAAATTCCTCATGACAGGGCCTGGACTACAAAAGGATTTACTTAGACTCTTGTCAAATTCTGCAGAATCCATTGAAAAAAATAAAATATTTGGGATCTATATATTGAAGAGTGAATAAAGTGTACATTTGCAAAAGTAACATGAGAGGTGCTACTACATTTCCTAGAAAGAAAATCCTAGTTTACTTTTAYTGTGGAAAATCAACACGAGAATACAAGAAAATTACTTGTATACAATATCAATGATGACAACTATTTAAATTATATTGTTGATACAACAAAGAAAAGAGTAAGTAGATGTGTGATTTAGTCTATTAATAAATATATTCACTATATTAAAATAAGTTTGTCTTAGCTCCCTGTGGTCCTTTTGTATTGTCCTAGAAATACAACCAATAGCTTTTTCTGTGCCTGTGAAAATACTTCACTTATACTAAAGCCAAGACATCCAAATCCTACACTAAATATTCCATCCAATAAGGTAAGAAAACTCATTTTAAGGCTTGTCAAAACATTACTGTCAGTGTTAGGGGTAAGAATCTGATCTTTCCATCAAATAAATGCAGTGTAGATGTGCTAAGAACACTAGAATAAATACCTAGCCAASTGGAAATGTTCAACTTGACAAGGCAACTTCACAGCACCATCAGAAATTGTTGGAAAAACCAGCTAGAACAAGCACTGAATGTTTAATGATGTGCTTCTTCAGATGTTTATATTTTAATAGCCAAAATAATAACGTTCTAAAATGTTTTTCAAATTAAATTGAGGTCATAAGCTCTCCTAGTGCAGAAAAATAGAGAAATCACCCATCAACTGTATATGAAAGGTAATCATGGGATACAACACTTGTAAACAAGCTATATGGCCAAAACAACATTAAAATTCACCCTGACTTGCTCAGATATATCAAATTACAATGCATAGCTCAAAAGACACCTTCTCATCAGTTAWGGCCCACACATGTACAGTATATTTGATACCAAACTTCACTGGAGGGTATAGTGAAATATTACATTGATTTGTGCAGAGGAGTTGATGTAAAATGGCCTAAAGCTGGAAGCAGAGYCCCGTGTGGAATGACAAAACACAACTTTTAACAAATGCACTAATAACAATGGGCCAGGCTATTTTTTTTGACTATTAAAATGCTTACATGAGCAAATGTAAGTAATACCATATATTGACTTTTGCTACTCTCAAGAAACTATATATTTTGGAAAAAGAAAAGCTCCTTTCTATACTGGTAGTCTGCTCTTTWCTCTTAAAGCCTTACCTCAGAAAAAGTAAATTCATTTTAATAGTTTGCTAACCCTAAATAAAATCACTGGGAACTAACAAGTACCTGCTCCAACAAGGAGCAATTTGCAGAGTATTAGTTTTCTTRCCTATCATACCTGAAAGGTTTTTTTTAAGTTTCCAAGTTTAAAAACCTGTCTTTTAATTAAGTTAATTACCCTAGTACCCTTATGGGAATTTCACATGCTTGTTTTCTTCAAAAACATGCTCTACACTTTCCAGTACGTTTGGAAAGTAATAAATTTTCCMGCTTCCTGGAAGTATTTTTGATCTTATACCCACAAGGGCACAACACTTCCAAATCCCTGCATCCCTCTGACCCAGAACTTCCATTGTACTTAAACCAACTGTTTATTAACTGAGCATGGATAAGCAGAAAATACCCTAATGGGTCTCTCAAGCCACAGCCATTGAGCCTAACTTGATATATCCTATAATACTCAGATTATCAGGGTTTAGATTAACACTTCAGAACTATGTGGCTTCAAAAGAGAAAAGGAAAATTGAGATGTTAGAAGAGATAATGATTTATAAAAACACATTTTTTCTACACATGCTAATGTGCCACAACACCTCTATCTCCAATTGACACAGAACATAGTTATACATACCACAGTTTGGTGGTTAACTTGAATCACTTCATCCCCAGCATGGATTTTCTTGCACCGATCTGCAGGTGACTGAATTTAAAATAAAAGAGATGATCAAGAATAAAGGTCTTACCAGTCATCATCTCTCTTTCAACAGCATGATTGCTAAGCTATGGAAATCAGGTTAGAATTGATAATGACATTCTACTGTGAAATAAAGAATTAAAGAAATATTTCATAAATCAGTTTGTTCTTGTTGGAGAAAAATGATATGTACTATGCTACACAATAAAATCACATGTTAARAAAGGTATGAATATATATGATAACMGAGTCCTAARGATTTCTTTTGAATTTCATCCTGCCAGAAGGATGCTTTAATCTGCCTGACATCTCTTAAGCCTCAAAAGCCAATCTTTGGCTGAGTTTTGAACCTGCCAAGACTAACTGGCAATTCTTCATCAAAAAAATTGTCATAAAATTGTCTTTTTATTCTGCAACATTTCAATATGTTGCAGAGAGCTTCAGTAAATTAATGTTCTTCAAAGAGCACACCAGAAGAGAAGATTAGGTTAGGTACAAACTACGAAGAAKGAGTAAATTAATGGTAACTTTGGTTTTGGAACATTATTAGGGTGAAAGAAATGCAACCACCTTCAAAATCCTACAGTGATCACACTTTCAAAAAAGCAAAGTAGCTTTGTACTTTGTTTTTGCCTCAAAAAAATAGTCAGTAACAAAAAAGCCCCCCAAAAAAAGCCACAAGAAAAAACCCTCATCCATAAAGTGATACCCCCACAAGTTTTCCCTTCTTTTGTCTTCACAGTAGACCAACTGTCTTCTGAGGGGAATACCTCTAAGTTTAAAGGAAAAAGAGTTCCTTCAGTTTTTCAGTCACACCTCAATTTTTCTCACAATACTGTGGCTGCCAGAAGGCACTTAAAATTGACTCCACAGTAGAAAGTGACTGACAGTTTGAAAAAAAAAAAAAAACCAACCCAAATGAAACATGATGCTCAGGAGCAGATTTCCAAAAAAAAATGCTACAAATTTTATGGAATTAAATTCATTTCCATGTGAGATAACAGGTCATCCAAAGAAAATGCTCCAAGCCTGAAATGCAGACTTTTTGTAATAACCTCTAATATCCCCATTCAAAACAAATCCCACAGCAATGCTGTGACTTTCTAGTTCAACTGCACATAATTCATGGCCTAAGTTAAGGACAGTGTTCAAATGAAAGATATCCAAGAGACACAAGAGGCTGAAAGGGTCACTAATGATTGAGTCCTAGCAGACATTGCACAGAACATCCYAAATCAAACTGGGCTGGTAAGAATGTAATTTTACTTATATAAAGAACTGCAGCCTTGACATTTGGGCACTRCTGAAGCAATAAAGGTATTGGCTGAGAGAATGGTGGAAAAACTTGAACACTGGTGATTATGTTCTAATAATCTGTCTTATGTCTGTCATTTCACTACTCACACTTACTAATTCATACCTCTAAAATCTTTATTATCCTCCTATGCAATACAGCTCTTTTAGCTCAGATGTGGTTACACCTAAGAGTTCTAAAATRCAAATGCAAGTGAATCCTATGTCATTACCTTTGCATTCTTCAGGACTTTATTATGATGCAACCTTTGCTTTACAGTGTCTCCAGCATCTGCAGCTTAAATATTGTCCAAACAGGTATTCTGTGTAGCAGTTTGCCAAGCCATTAAAATATGGTCTCATAAACTTCAAACTGGAAAAGTCTATTTTAAAAAAAGCCTCATGGCAATWATGCCTCAAACACACTGCAAGGTGAGGTAAAGATAATTTATAAAGGCATGTCAAGGCTGTGGTCTTATGAAGAGATTGCAACTCCTGTTTCTTATTGCTTTTTCCTCTCCAGTAAAGAACAGACCTTGCTGGGAAATAGTATCTTTTATCATGGTTATTTAAGGAAAACACAGGAGAATCGATAAGGTCTGTGTTTTTTAGATATATATGCTGATCATTAAGCACAGCATCCACTGATGAAGTCCTACTATCATGTTGCCATCCCACAACTGTATCTTCATCAGCAGGAACTCAGCTCAACAAGGAGCTGAAKTGATGTCACTGAGGCTCACACATCAATAATTACAAACTATTCAGAATTTGCTACTAGGATTTACTCTTCAGAATAGATTTATTGTTGTCCTTTATGCTAAATGTTGTCTTTTTCCTATYCCCCTGGTATACTCACACTGTCTGAAATCCAGTTTAGAGCCCCTGGAGGACAATTTCTGTGTGCTCACAGAGGAAATTTTGGTGTTATTTCTTCTGAAAAGTCTCTCTTCCCTGCRATCTAAGGGCACCATGCAAAATCAGCCAGATCACAGCAAGTGGTGACACCGGGAGCACACCCCTCAAAGCCACATTCCTGCTGGAGATGCACTGCATGCTATTATTTTAGAAAAACACTCTTTTTTTTACTGAAAAACCAAAGGACAAAATGATCTTACTTGAAGGACACATTTGGTTTGTGCATTAAAAGAATCTCTCCAACATGGTCGAGAAGGGCTATTCARCAAGAAAGCTAAAGTCATTTCCTGGACCAATACACCCTTTAGATTGTTATTACTTGCAAAAAAAAGACAGAAGACATGAACTGGAAAGATCAGCTTGCTCTAATGCTACAGGGCCACCAGAGAAAATCTCTTASAGGGCAGTGACCTGTGAGGAATATTGCCCTCTCTCAGGTCAAGCTTTAGAGCTCAGCTGCTTTGATCTGCAGAGCTGATTCTGGGGGAGATGACCTGTAATGCCAAGCAGCAAGAATCCAAACACTAACAGGCTTTGCAGCTGGACATCAAAAACACCTCAAATGCCAGACAGAAAGAGCAGAACTGTCACTACAAAACTACACCCTTACATTAATGTGGAGAGCACTACCATGATATGTGTTTAATATAGACACATGTTCTCCTCCATATTTCAGATAAAAAAAAGTGTCACTGTCTCACTTGGAAGAGCAGATTTGGAAATTAAAAGGATATAAAATTTTGTTCAAATGGAAGAGAATTTGGATTCTTTTTTCCTAGAGATTAAACTGTATTGCAAAGAGTAAACATGTCAAGAGCAGCAGGTCTGATAACGTGTGCATGACTGTGATCTTGTTCTGGCCACATTGCTTAGATCTTTCTCTTTCCATCTACCATGATACTGTGTTTAATATAAACACATGTTCTCCTCCATGATCTTTCAGACAAAAAAAGTGTGTCATTGTCTCACTTGGAAGAGCAGATTTGGAAATTAAAAGGATATAAAATTTTGTTCAAATGGAAGAGAATTTGGATTCTTGTTTCCTAGAGATTAAACTGTATTGCAAAGAGTGAACATGTCAAGAGCAGCAGGTCTGTGATCTTGTTCTGGCCACGTTGCTTAGATCTTTCTCCTCCCATCTACCAAAATCAAAACTCTGTGTTGTGTCTGGTGTGTGTGTATGTTAAAGAAAGCAGCTAGAAACTGTGTTCTTAAAACAGGAGACACTCTTCTTTCTCTAAAGCACTACTCATTTTCACAAATGAGYACAAACACACAGCAGCTTTTTACACACAACAGCCTTTTCCCTTGACAACAGAGTGCAGATTCTTGGTCTGCTGTGAGCACCTCCAGGGTGTCACAGTGAATGAAAGAGTCAGTAACAACAGCACAAAAGTCATCATGATTGAAGCTTCCTGGCACAGCTTTAAATTATATTCATGAATCACAAAAGAGAAGAGTTTTGAGGGAATGCATTAAGATTTTATTTTTATCTTTGCCCCTGGGAAATTAAATCCATTAGTAAGTTATGGAAAGAAATTGTTCCTTCTTTAATTTGAGAGATTCTGCAAAATCTCTTCTACAGAGAACTGTAAAAATTGTTCTCTTTATTTCATATATTTTCCAGATTAAGCTCAACTATAGTTCTATTTGGTTTGTTTAGTTTTGCTAATTTTGCTAATGATGTCTGTAGCTGTAGGCCTGACTCTCTAKAATTTTTATTTTCCTTGAAATTCCTTACATTTTTCTTTTTCTAAGACAGGTGGCATTCACATAAATTCTAAACAAGTATTATCTATTGGTTATAACCCGTGGATATCCTGCCCACAGCAGAAAACAGAAAGGAAAAAGGCTATTAAATTGCAGCTCCTATGAAAGGATGAAAAAGATATTCTTTTTTTTTATTGAGATGTTAACAGAACCTCACTGCAGATCAGATGCAGCAGCTGTAAATGCCATGTAGGTAGTYTGCACGTCCCAAAGGATGACACAGTATCATGATAAAAGAGTTCATTTTAAGAAAATGCCATCAAAATMTTTGAAAGGAATTGCCTAAACCATTATGGAACAGTTCACTGTTGTTTAGTGATTGAAGATTAATTGAAGATCATGGATAGATGTCTTTTCCCCCAAAATTATCATTTTGTTCAGCTCCTAACAGACAGCCAGTTCCCTAAATATGGTGTACAAGGAATGGAGGCTGTATTTCAAAAGCTTTTGAAAAGTAGTCTATTATATTTTACTTGCTCTTTAATGCCTTCAGCGAGAATTAGTACACTGGTAATAAATGTTCCTTTCCATAGGCATTACTCAGAAGTTCATGCAGAAATACATAGTTATTTGTCAATGTGAAGGAATATCCATTTCCATGCACTTATTTATTACAGAATGAAGCTTGATAGATGGAAAATATAAAAGCTGTTTGTCTAACACTGCAGCAAACTACAGCATAACAGCCTAAACATAATATAGACATTTATCTTTTATTCACAGAGCAAAGTAACTCCAAGACAGCTGCTTCCTGTCTTGATCAACTAGAACATTTTAGGTGTCTTGCAAGAACAAATCAAGACTGATTCTCTTGGTCCTTAACTGGGAACAACCCTTTCAATTCTGAGGTAAACAAGCACAAGCATCTCTGCTGTCCAACATGCCATTGGTTCTTAACAGCCAACTAGCACAAGTTTGCAAGCAAAATGTATTTTATAGCAAAGGGAAAGCATTAACCACAGGTAAGGTCAAAAAGGCTTCCAGGCCTGAACATACAGTATTAACAATACTTACATTTTCTGTTGTTCCAGTAATTACATGAAGACCATCATATGTTGACTTAATGTACATACCCTAAGAAAAAGACATCATGGGAAAGAATTTTTAAAGTGTTTCACAAACCATCACCATCCAAACAAAACTTGCATATGTCTTAAAGAATCTCTCTTTTCTTTTTGATTTCTTTAAGATTTGTGGACTTTAATGCATGCCATGAGGAATTTGTCTCTGGGTAGGAAAGTGCTTTTCCATATACTTCAAGAATAGTCCAAATAATTTTGGCCCTAATTAGCAATAAAAAACTGAAACTTTTACCATGGTTATGTCCATAAATACTCCCCAGGTTTTTTTGTTTTTTTTTTTAATACACTTCTTCAATTACAAATACAACAGTGCCTTACAAAAAGCCCCAGGATTACAAATTGCCTTAGTATGACCAACACRTCCATTTTGCTTTGAAAATTATATTGAGTTTTAAAAGACCTGGAATCTTCAGTAGGCAACACTGCAAACACAACTTTGAAACTCCTAACCTGTGTGGAATTGTGCCTGCAAAATGGCTGTGAGACCATCTCATAGCCCCACTCATCCCAGCAAACACTTCAGCTATAAAACTCAATGATGAAAACTTCAACATCAACTTTGTTTGCTATCCCACTTGTTTCAAAAAATATGAAAAAGGGTGGATAGCTTATAAACAGACAAAAGTTCCTGCATGGGTAGTCCAAGACAGTGTCTCAAATATGCCTTTCCACCAAGCTTTAATTCAAACATTTTAACAGCACTATGACACCAGGAGAAGGAAAAAAAGGAGAAATAATTGGCATATACTGAGCATTCAACAATTTCTGAGGAATCTCCTTTCCCTCAACCTTTCCCACTTCACTGAAAGCAGGGAAACATTGAGAGTCTGMATAAACATCCTCTTCATAACCTACTTTTTCTCTTTTTAATCAGAGTGCCTAGTTCAGGAGCAGAATGCACTCACTGCTGAGTAAGAATGGTGAACAGGCAAAGAAGACACATCAAGCTGGACTAATCTAGTTGGGGACCAGAACTGACAGACATTTTGGTAGCAGAAACAAGGAAGCATACCTCAATTAACAAAGTGGATAATATCCCCAGTAAAACAAACCAGGGACTTTCTCAGTTTCTCAGAAGAGGGGCTCAAAAGTGAACTCCTAAATTGTTCTGCACAATTACACAGTGTTAATGGAATCAAACCCAGTTGTTGTGCTGGAAGGTAACAAATCCAGAATTTCCTTATTACTACACACAAATCCCTGACATCATCCTTCAACTTCCAGCTCCTCTGTGAACCCTCAGTAATTTCTCCATTGATTGGCGCCATCACACAGCTTTTGCTTAACTCAAATACAGAATGGCTTTTTCATGCATTTATCCTCACAACACCCCTGTGAGGTAGGGARACACKAATATATACACATCTTAACTAATATACAGATATCTGACAGGAGGCATCACGAGCCACACAAGAGGCTGAGATATGTTGGTATCTGTTCCTTGGTACACACACCCACCCTCAAACCACCACCACCACCAAGCAGGGCTTCAACCCCTCTCAGATACAGATCTAAGTGCAAAATGGCAAAACCTAAAATGACAGAGACCATGGTGACAGGAACCTTGAGTCAGGTCCCCACATAGAGCAATTTCAGAAAAGCCACATCTTCATTTTTATTAACAGTGCTGCTTTCAACCTTGAACGTCAGGGTGAAAGCCAAGGGAAACGTCTCACAATGGTTACACAACATTTAGTTTTGTGCAAAGCTTTATTCCAAAGGATAGTAAGTTCATCCAAGTGTGCTACCATTCCAGAGTGCAATTCACATCCAATCTAGTCTTTTTCCACAAATTTGAAAGACTTTGAAAATGCAAAAGAGGAGAAAGAACTTTTGCAGAGTGTTCTGTAAAGGCTAGGATCAAGATTTTGCACACATTAAGAAAGAGGGAAGAAGAAAGCGAAAAAAATCCACCCTAGATTGCATTTATTCCACATGTGCAAAATTAATAAATACTACATTTGTACTGTGTCACATTAATTTTGCAAGAACAAACATAATTCCTGTTATGAAGCAGGTTTTAAATGAGGGGAGGTAACATTTTGCAACACAAAAATGAGCCCCTTTCAGCCACGTTTCTTCACTCCTCGTTTTAAGTGAACAATATATGGGAAATTGTATAGAGAAAAGAAYGTTTCTGATTTCCAATTATTTGATCTGGAATGGAAATAAGAATACCACAGGCATTTACAAGTTTTTTCTCTCTCTGCCTCCTTGTGGCTGCACAATATCAACAGTACTTTTAGCAATCAAGAATACAGGGGAGATCAGTGTGTGCTCTGTCCATTTGCACTGAAAGAAATTGGTATTSAAAGATAAGTCCCTAAGAATTTACAAGAATCAGTTACACCAGATAAAAGGAAAGAGAATTCCATTTATAAGACTAAAATAACCATAAGCTAACCAATCTAGTAATCAGGAATAAATGTATGCCTGGATTAAAAAAATTAGTAACTCATGCTTAATTACATGAGAAGATCACCCTGATCAGCTATGGGAGATCTCTAATTCCACACCAATCATTACAATTTGTCTTAGTGATTGAGTTAAGGGTTAGAAAAGAGACCTTTTGTGGGTTTTTTTTTTCTTTTTTTTCCTTTTTCTTTCTTTGTTTCTGTTTATATTTTTTTTAAGAATGAAAACAGAATGTGATCTATTTCTAACATATTTCGTGCAATGCTGGATGGAAAAGGAAAGAAGATACAAATTCCATTTTATCACACTTATAATTGAATTTTTACTTTCACTCCATTTTCATGGAGCAAAATTGCATGTGTCCCTTTAACCTCAAACAGCTCTCAGAATGCTGTTCATAACTCTTTCCCAGCTCTTCCAGTATTTCAAACCAAAAAATTCAGGAGAAATATCAGGAATAGTAGTACATTGGATTCCTGGAAAGGGAATCATCAGTGCACTTCAATCAGCTGCCACACCTTGCTGTACCTATGACTTGTATTTTATGAGTGATTTTTTTACATAACAAGTTTCTTCTTTTTTTTACATGACAAGTTTCTTTTGTGTTTGCTTCAGGAAGCAAAAAGGAGCCCCGAACAATCACTCTCATGTTCTAATGAATTTACCTTCACATTTCTGAACCCAGCAAGCTTGAAATCATATCACAGTCACTTACCTGACTGGGATTAAAATGATTATATAAACAGGAAACAACTGAAATTCAAGATTAATCTTTGCTACASTTCTCTGATATTATTCTTCTATATTAAAAGCAAAAACAAAGTAGAAAGTGACTGCTGCAGAAAAAGTACCCAAGGAAAACTTTTCCTGCTTTTTATCTAAATACACTCACTGTTTTCAGTCAAGCAGCAATATTCTTAAGTTTGTTTAATGGCTAAACATATTACCTAAGCCAGTGAATTTTGTCTCTGTATATCAGTAATGTAAAAACATACAAAATGAAATTCCTCTTACTAATACAGATGAAACAATTCGCAAGTCCTCAAAAAAAAAAAAAAGAAAAAATTAAAGAATTACACATAGCAGCACATTGGTGAACACGAATTTGACCACATGAATCCATTTTAAGGCTTTTAAAATAATTTTCTACCATTACAACTCTTTTCACCCTTCTTTCAGTCTATATCTCTTCCCCCAGCAATCCTCACTGGAGAACACATGAATGCAGCCAATCACAACAGACAAGGATAGAGAGAAAACAAAAAAAAAGGGGGAAAAAAAAATAAACAACAAAACCAATACCAAACCCCACTCATAACTTTGTTTTACCCAGAGAGGTTCTCCACATCATACCCTAAAAACATTTTCCACTTGACAGGTTTAGTTGCTTGACAGGTTATTTAGTCATAGGTGTTAGGTAGTTTTGTATCTATAAGAGATGATAAACCCTGCAGCACATTTACTTGTTTTTTCTTCATTCAGGTATTAGTTTTGACAATTTGCATTTACCTCTGACAAATACTTACGTTTCCACAAGCAAAGACCAAATATAGTGAAGGAACTGTTTGTGCTGATTAAATCATCCAATCATGCTCCAATATTTTTTTAAGTTGTAAAACCTTCAAGCATTTTCATAATTCCATCATATATTTACCATGAGTTTAGGGAAACAGCATTGTTTTCCAAACTTTAAATTTCCTTGTCTTCTCCTTTCCTTTTTCTCTCCCAGATTTACTTCTTAATATGACTTTGAGATGTTAGACATTCTGTTTACAATGGGTGACAAAAATCTTCCCAGTTAGAAGCCATCATTGTCTTTTTTCTTCTGCTTGAAGTCCTTCCATCTTTACAGAACATTTTATTTAGTGACTGGTAAAGCCAGCACAGAACTGTCACGTGGGTCAAAAATCTACAACAAAGTTGACAATAAACCATTTTTCCACCTCCATCATTGCACAGATCCTGGAGGAAGGTCCACAAATGATTGAGCTTCACATTTATCCAAGCGTTTTTGATATGTAGAGAATATTCACAATTCCAAGCTCCAGTTCTTAAAGTGACACCCTCAGCACTCAGTGGGGCAATACTGATGTTTATTCACTGTGTCTTAATTCAGAGGTATTCGTTTAAAAAAGCAAACAAACAAAAGACCAACAACCCAAAAGCATGTAAAGCACCAAGAATTCCATGACAAAGGTGATCTGTCAGTAAGATTGGAGCTGTTACAAAGGGAAGGGATGATTTTCACTCTCCTGGTGCAAATACCCCATCTCAGTGCCTGCTCTGGAGAGCTCACAATCTACACAATTCTGAGGCAGAACAATAGTGGCACACAGGAAAGGATGAAGAAAAAAAACATTGCTGTGTCAAAATGGCACTGTATCCTTCTAAGGCTTATATACAGCTATTTTCCTTTTTGAAAAAAATACATAAATTCTTATTACAACAATGACATCAAGACCCTGTTAAGTTGGTTTATAAGTACATAAAAACGAAAAGCCCYGCCTTGAAGGGTTTCCAGTTTAAACAGACAAGACAGACAGAGGGTGTAAAACAGAGACACAGAGAGGAAAAGAGATTCTCTCATCAGCTACCCAGCAGGAACAGACCCATGAAAAAACATTCTTATTTACAAAAAATACCACTCAACATTTCTCAGTTCCTGGGAGTTCACACAAACCTACACAAAGACTTAAATGAGAGGCAAAAACTAAAAAAAAAATGTCACAAGACAGAAAAAAAAATTCAAGTTCAGATAAAAATGGACAGAACTCATAAAAAAGTGATCAAGAGAAAGGGGAAGATTTCCTCATTACAGTAGAAAGTAAGGTTTCAAAAGGTTGACTGCAGTGAGGTGGTGGAAGAATTAAAATTACTGGAGAAAGGGAGGGAAAGAGAGGAAGGAGAGAATCCATGAGAAGCTGAAATCCTGAAGGACAAATTTTAAATGGATTCAGAGATAAAAAAGAAAGTTAGTAGAGGAAGGGAAAACAAATTGTAGACTAAAACAAAGGATGGGGCCATATTTACTAATCCAAGTGTTTGGGGTTTTTCCTCATAYTTGAATTGCAATTTTCCAAAATAATGGAAAATCAATTTAGARTACAATTGCTCAAAATAACTTGGCATACCAACTTTGCCAAGAAAAACAAATCAACTCAAAACCCAGCAACAACCAATCCACAAACCAAAATATTCTACAAAACTACAACATCCAGACAACCTCAAAAACCTGCTGCAAAGAGAACAGCARTCCTCCTTCAAGACTGTTCATGAAAATGGAATGAGAATAAAGCTTGGGCAGAAGTTGCAAAGGCTATTTCTTTAGACAAAAAAAATGTTTAACTGTATTGTGATTACCACCATTTCTACCTCCAAAAATTAYGGAAACAAATGTTACTAATGATGTAAAGTCATACATCTGGAATTGTGATCAGTGTTGGTTTTTTCCATGCAGAGGGTGTTGGATATTTGAGTAAACAAGAGATCAATGGTCAGCTCTTGAACAACAAATACAGGATGGCTGCATTAAGAGACTTTACAAGCATCTGRTTAAGAATGCAAAATTCTTGCAATAAAATTCAATGAGTTACTTAACAGCAGTGCTGTAGAGCTCTCAAATAACTTATAAAATAGCTTTATATCCCAGTGATACTACGAAATATTTTCCAGAATCTGACAGGTTTTGTGCATAAGCCCACGCAAACTTCTTGGTTGAGTTGATCTTAGTAATTTAAGTTCCTTCAGACTTCAAGATCCTGGAACAATCTGAACCATTTTTCAGAAGCTGGTATAAATGGCAAGAACTTCTTAGTCATTTCTCCCTGTTCACTGAACTTTGCATACTTCAGTCAGCTTTACAAAATACTTCCCTGTACTGTCCCAGCTGCATGAGAAACCAAACTATTTTTAAACTTAAAAACCAGAAAATGCTAAAATGTCCTACTCCTTTTCATATGTACAACTTGTTTTTTAAAAAAAAAAAATCACTTTCTCATCCTGGATGATGGGTTTGATTAACTGCGTACTTCTTACCAGCCCTTCACTTGGCTTGATGTTTGTAAGCTGGATCACTTCAAGATGGGCAGACTGGGAAACCAGTGGGTCAGAAGAGAGGGAGATGATGTGGTCACAGACACCAGAGAGAGTTTTACACTAGGAGAGAAAAAAAATAAAAGAAAATGTCACAATAAACGTAGCTATTTGYATATCGATATTCAGTTTAAACCATCACATTTTTGAAGCACATACAAGGCAGAGTGATGTAAATTCTGAAATACATTATCTGTGATGATCCTGAATTAGCACAGCACCAGAGAAAGGAAGAAAAGGAGGCAAATGCTTTTATATCTGAGCAGAGATAAAAAGGATTGCCATGCATTCTCAGAGATGGGTGACATGCTCAGGCACATGGGGAATATGTGGTGAGCTCCACCCCACACCCATCCACATTTTCTGCATAAATAATAAATGCCTCAAAGCCCTTTAACTTCCACTGAATGTGCAGCTGCTCAAAAAGATGAAAATCAGCCCTTAATGACAACAGGTAACTCCCATGAACTAACTCTATTAGTTATTCCATACTAATAAAACCTGTTAATTGTTTCTGGACTAGGCTTCTCATGTTATACAGCTGCCAAACATGATTTACTATTGCAAGACATGAAGATTACAATAAATCACCACTTCACAGTGGGATAGCTCTTAAACCAGTTACTGTTGGCAGCCTCTGCAGCAAGACAGAAAAAATTTCCAAAAAGGCTGAGACTGAAATTAGCACTGTTTTATGTGCTGATCTCTCACTCCCTAAACACCCTCTTCTCAGAAGAAGGAAAGTGAGGTTTTCCTATCATTCTCTGTGAGAAAGTGATTTTTGAGAGTTTCAATGTTTTCCATTTAGTCCCCTTCCATCAACTTTAAATTATTTCWCTGTTCAGGTTTCCAAATGCATCTCTGTCAGCAAATTCAGGGATTAGGACATTRTCCAGGTCCCAAAACTGTGGGTATTTCTAAAACCAATTAAGAACTGCTCTGAAATCAAAACATGAAAACTAACCAGTCTCATCAAATGACTGAAACACAACTGCACACAACCATTGCACAAAGATTCCAAAGTACAGTTCTTACAGTAAAAAAAAAATCTACAACAATGTTATGGAAAAATAATGTAACATTGTGTATAACCTCCTGCCAAATCAGCATAGTAATTCCAAATGGAAAATTACAAATATCTTATGTAAAAGAAAAAATAATTTTTAAAAAAGTGATGCAAGCAAAGAAAAAAAAAATCAATGATAGTGACATCTTAATCCCGTTAYATATCAGCACACTGTGATTTTTYTCCTCTTTAAATTGTTTACAAAYAGWTGAAGGTTTAGGMTTSTATACAAATCACTTATTYTATTGAGCAATGATGTTTCAGGATGAATAAGCAAAACAGAATCACATGGAAAATATAACAAAGTCTGTATAACCAACATGACCTTCTTCCAGAAAAAATATTACCTTCAACATAGCCACACACACCACCCTTCTACTTTTTGATGATGMAGAACAAAGGAAGTCAATAAATATRTAAAATGAGGTTAAGAATGGTTTGTGCTTTAACTGAACTACAAAAAAAAAGTGAAAAAGTGAACTTTATTGAAATTTGGGCTTCTTTAATGGTTTTTGGATGCATGAAAATTGAGTTGAGCTGGTATTTTTAAAAGGTAAAATTACATAACAAAAATGAAAGCTTAGGTTTCTGTTTATTTGTGCTTTTAAATACAGTGTTAGCATGTTATTTCTRTTTTCATTTTGTAACTGCATTGACAATTATTGAAAAACCACTTAAAAAAATTACAGAGCACTCAGCTGTTAATGCAAAGTGAAGAGACTCACACTGTAAATTATTCTCTAAGATGAAAATGGAATTTTTCATATCTCTTTAGACTTGTATTCACCCACCTATCCTTCCTATTAATTTCCTCTAAATCCACTAAATTTATGGGGTTCTTAGAAGTTTCAGAGAAACTTCTATTTATAGTGAGTTAATTTCTTTTCCTCCAATTTTCAACTGTTGCATTGCAGCGAGATGGCAAAACACACAGAAAAAGTGTTCTTACCACCTAACACATTAAAATACACGTTCTCAGCTGCCTTGAGAGATGATGGGGAAAAGAGAGGAGTCAGGCAAGTCCAGGATGTGGAACAGAGCAGAAGTTTAAGGTGAGATAAATTAAATAGCAGCTGCTCTCTCTCTGTCTCCCCATGAGAGGGGTACAGACAGTCTATACAGTAATGACTGTGCTGATCAGCATTCCAGTACAGTTAAAGTGTTGCCTTGAAAGGGCAGTTTCTAATGACACAGACATGGTTAAGGGGATAAAAAGGGTTTTCCCTCGGGATTTGGGATCCCAGGTGCACAACTTGATGGCAGAATGCACACCCGTGTACAGCACGGGTACAAGTTTTATAGGTTTCAGGAATTAGCAAATCTATCTAGGATTCCCCAATGAGATACAAGTTTTATAGGTTTCAGGAATTAGCATATCTATCTAGGATTTTCTAATAAGAAATGCAATAAATGTAGTAATGTTTCTTTATTCTAATGAATTCTTTCTTAGGATGAGGCCAGAGCCCAGTTTACACAAGATGTTCTGGACAGAAGGCTTCACCCAAGGCTGAGCTCAGGTTTAAGATAGCACAGGGCACACTGAGCTCTTCCTCAGGATGTTTGGTCTCTCTGCCCAGCAGAACTCCTAAACTGAGCTGGAATATCAAGCTTCAGGAATTACAAACACGTGGGTTAAGGGGTACAGGTGGATGCATAGAGGGTACAGAAAGCGTAAAGGGAAAAGCAAAAAATCATCAGGCATCAATACTGGTTGCAATCCTAAAACAAGGTGGTCGAAATATTTCCAAAGAGGAGCTCTGGGAATATTGGGTGCCAAAATCACCAACACCCAAGTTGCTAGGATAACAAAATTTGTCATATGCTTCAATGTATTTTTAAAAGTTCATTGTCTTTGGGGCTCACAGCTTTCTTTGATACTCCCACTGCAGTCCAACAGCACTTTATCCTTATAAATGATTATTCACTTAGAAATTTTCATTAAATATTCCTTGGTTRAAGAGCTGAACTAGAAGTAGGATCAAGTTATCTATCTGGCTTATATTAAAGGCAAATTTTCATGAGCTCTGAGCTTGTCCAGAGAGAGTCAGAAGAGCAAGGAGCACACACACACAGGTACCTTGCCTTTGCAGTGGGGAGGGCAAATTMATGTATTTCCTTGCCTTTTTACTCTCAAGAACATCTCATTCACAGTTTGTGTTGATAATATACTAATCAGCATRAATTGGCATACAAACAAACCAGTCTGCTCACCAGGAGCATGCTTCCTCCCCACTAAGCATCTGTATGGAAAAAGACCTCCAAGCCTTCCAAGGCAAAGATATTGCCACGTGGCACCCAAGGCACTAAAATTTTGCAGTTTTTCTACTCATTTTGCTCCTTACAATTTATAAACACCTTATTTAATTTCATGAAATTTAAATATTTAATTATTGTAATTATTCGGAACAAGCTGTATTTTAGTTCCACTAAAATCAGATAGCAGTCACCTTTTCTCTCAAGTGACCTGTGGATGCTTTGTAAAACCACACTTGCAATTATGAAAACATTGTTAAGGAGATCAGGATCCTTTATTATTTGTAAGTGTTGATTGTTTGCTGCAATTCATGATTAGTTACTGTAAGACACACAGGAAGCCAAGGATCCAATCGCTCCCACAAAAATCAGCAGGCATTAAAAATCCCCAACCTTCCTCAAGCTGCCCTCAGTTCCCAGGATTTGTTCCCAGGAAAGGATTTGTTCAGCCCAAAAAAAAAAAAAAAAAAAAGTTACAAAAGATTAACTGAGAGAAACCAACAGATAATTACATTTTCCCCTTTTGTCACATGGTCCCTGTTCTCACTTTAAGCCTTAAAGCAATGATTTCAGTTCTCTTTTGCAGTAACTCATCACTGCACTTCAGTAATAAATTCTCCTCTCTATTCAAGTGACACACTTATAATTGCAGATTGAAGCTACAYCACAGCCTTTGTGTGCAAAGCTAAATGATTCAGAGGAGAACAAAAAATATCACCACACAGCACCTCGTTGTTTGGTAAAAAATTCAAAGAGAAACATTATGTTTCCCTCAGTAGGCAGCTACTTTATGCCTCAGAGCTTAAAGAATGACAGATAATATTTAGTTTCTACCTGCATTTTTGGACTGTAGGGTAACAATTTCTTAGAGTTTTTCCACAATTGCTCCTTCTTTCAGMCAGGGGGATGGGGTGACTAAATTAAAGGTGACTAAATTACATCTGCATCTGTCCCGTTTTGCTGTGGCTGCTCCAATTTGTGCTGGAAAAATCTCTGTGCTCTGCAGCAAAGTGAAGAACCCACAGACATAATTTCAGGAGCCTTCCCTCAACCTGTCCATCTGCTGTCACCAAGCATTTCTGCTCAAGCAAACAGACTTAGCTTTGTCCCCTGTCCTTAATTTTACCCGGGCTAGTGGCTGAGCTTAAATGTATTTTGCCAACAGAAACTGTGTCTGTCCCCCAGACACAATGTGAAATTCCATTTAAAAGAAATAAACAAGTTTAAGTAGATCATTTCTTCTTAAAACTGCCTAAGTTTTCAATCAGACTTCTTCCTTTAGATACATTTTATCTGTTTACTTGAATAACACAGTTTAGTTTACTGCTTAACCTATATACAATACTGAAGCATCCTGGTTTAAATATTTTCCCAGGATTGAGGGCAAGAAAAGCCTTCCCCATCAGCCCTAAATCTGAATGGGGAATAGGATACCAATAGGATATATGGACTTTCAAGACTAAAAGCAAGAAAAAAACATCCAGGTAACGTTAAGCTTAGGCTGTTAGTTTAGTTAGTCCAGGTAACGTGAAGCTTAGGCTGTTAGTTTAGTTAGTCCAGGTAACGTGAAGCTTAGGCTGTTAGTTTAGTTAGTTACAGCTGTCTAAAATGAATGAAGTCCAACTAAAGAAAGCCAAACCAAATAATAACAAACCAATTAATTTTAGTCTAAAACCATTGTTACATGGTACAGAACACATCAGTAACTCCCACAAGTCTTAAAATCAAGTGAGCCTGAACATGC